GATCAACCTTCAGCCCATGGTCTCCATGCCGGAGACCTCCCGAGCTTTGCTGTGGACATGGAAGGTTGGCGATGCGTCTGCATTCCGTGTCTGGGGATCTCTGGGGTCTGTCCGCGACTTATCTGCAGACAAGCTGTCCCCTCGTGCTGCTCCCTGCGTCTTCCTTGGCTTCCCCCCTGACGCGCGAGGGTGGCAGTTCTACCACCTTACCTCGCGCCGTGTTCTGTCCTTCCAGGACGTCACGTTTGACGAGTCGGTTCCCTACTACCGTCTCTTCCCCTACCGCACTCCGTCCCTCCCCCCGCCACCGCTCTTCCTTGCGCCAGGTCCCCCCTTGGTAGACCCCCTTCCCCCTCAGGGTCTTGCCCCCTCAGGTGTGTCCCAAGTAGACGCAGTCGAGCCTGTTGAGGTAGCTGTTGACTCTGGTGCTGCTGGGGGTGCTGCGCCTGGGGGTGCTGACTCTGAGGGTGCGGAGACTGGGGGTGCTGAGACTGGGGGTGCGAAGCCTAGGGGTGCTACGCCTGGGGGTACTGAGCCTGGGGGTGTTACGACTCGGGGTGCTGAGCCTGGGGGTGCGGAGCCTGAGGGTGCCGGGCCTACTCGTGTGGTGTCTAGCGATGCTGGACCTGGAGGTTCTCCGGGTGCTTCGTCTCGGCGGCAGCTCCTCTCTCCACAGGAGGTGCGTGAGTGGTTTGCCCGGCGTTGGAGGCGTGCTGCTGGAGCTGGAGCTGCTGCTGGTGCTGGGGGTTCTACTGCTCCTGAGGGTGCTGGTGCTCGTATTGGAGGTACTCGAACCGCTGGGCCTGCTGGTGCTCCTCGTACTGGAGTCGGAGCTGCTGCGTCTTCTGGTGGTCCGCCTGGAGCTGGAGCTACTGGGGGTGTTGGCACTGAGGGTGCTACTGGCGCTAGTGCTAATGAGGGTGCTAGAGGTGGCGCTGCTGGAGCTGGGGGTGCTACTGGCGCTGGTGCTACCGTTGGGGGCACTGGTGCTGTTCCTGCTGGTTCTGGGGGCGCTGCACGGCCGCGGCCGTACTTCGTTCCGCTCCTTGAGCATGTTCTTGGTCTTCCGTCCTCTCTTGGTCCTGCAACTCTCTTAGAGTGTCCGCCGCCTGTCCAGTCCGAGTCACGGTTACAGCCGGCCTCCCCACTGCCTGCTCCGTCTCCCTACACTGGTCCTAGTGGAGGTCTTGCTGAGCGTCGTGCGCCTGCGTCTCGCCCTGCGTCGCCTGTCCGTGCTTCTCGCACTAGTGGACATGGTACGCGTCAGCGTCCTCCCCCTGTCCCTGGCATGCACCGGATGTCTCTGCGTCCTTCCACTGCTCCACTGCGTGCCCCTTTGCCTTCTCCTCCCGAGTCCTCTCTTCCTGCTATAGCTGACCCGGAGTCGGACTCTCTTCGTGCTGCCAGTCCTACTGTCACGCGTCTCCTTGTTACTGTTGTCACTGACCCTTCCTTTGAGTCCGCTGCTGCGTCTGCCTTGGTCACTGAGCTCGTCGACTTTGCTGCTTGCTGTCGTCTAGAATACGCTGCTGGTCTTGTTGCTGAGTCTGAGTCTGTCTGTCCTCCGTCCGTCGGGGGTGAGTGTGCCCTTGGCACGGACGTCCTTGAGGACGGGCAGGAGGAGTTCCAGTGTTTGGCTGCTGCTTCACCTCATCTCGTGTCCGTGCTCCTTACCCCTGAGGGAGACCCGGATGCACTTGACATCCCGACTCCGCACTCTTACACGGAGGCGATAGAGGGTCCCTACTCCCCTCAGTGGCAGGCAGCTATGGACGCAGAGATGGTTCCCTGGAAGTCCACAGGCACCTAGGTTGACGAGGTTCCCCCGCCTGGGGCGAACATCGTCAGTGGCATGTGGATTTTCAGGGTGAAGCGGCCGCCGGGTTCTCCGCCTGTCTTCGAGGCGCGTTACGTGGCGCGTGGCTTCAGTCAGCAGCAGGGAGTTGACTACTTTCAGACCTTCTCTCCCACCCCGAAGATGACCACTCTTCGGGTACTGCTGCACATAGCCGCTCACCGTGACTACGAGCTGCACTCTCCTGACTTCAGCACTGCATTCTTGCAGGGCAGCCTGCACTAGGAGATCTGGCTGCGCCGCCCACTTGGCTTCACTAGGACTTTTTATCCTAGCACCCAGTGGAGCCTCCGGCGGCCAGTCTACGGTCTCCGCCAGGCACCTCGTGAGTGGCACGACACACTGAGGACTACAATTGCGGCTCTTGGGTTTGCTCCCTCTACTGCCGACCCGTCGCTGTTTCTGCGCACCGGCACTTCTTTGCCGCCGTTCTACATCCTCGTGTACGTCGACGACTTGGTCTTTGCCACAGCTGACACTGCTGGACTCGCCTACATGAAGTTTGAGCTGTAGAAGAGACACACGTGCACAGACCTAGGTGAACGCGCAGCTACCTTGGCTTGCAGATCACCCGGGACAGAGCACAGCGCACCATTACCCTGACTCAGTCACACATAGTGCAGCAGGTCCTTCAGCGCTTCGGCTTCACGTACTCCTCGCCTCAGGCCACTCCTCTGTCTACTCGCCACTCGCTCTCAGCTCTGCCTTCGGATGAGTCCGTAGAGTCGAGTGGCCCGTACCCAGAGCTTGTTGGCTGCCTTATGTACCTGATGACCTGCACACGTCCTGACCTTGCATACCCTCTGAGCATTCTGGCACGCTTTGTTGCTCCTGGGAGACACAGACCGGAGCACATAGCTGCAGCGAAGAGGGTGTTGCGCTACTTGTGCAGTACGTCGGGCATGGGGCTAGTGCTTGGAGGGCGGAGTCCAGTGGTCCTCACTGGTCACGCAGACGCTTTTTGGGCTGACGACCAGGCTACGCAGCGGTCGTCACAGGGTTACACCTTCACCCTTGGTTCCGCCTCTTTCTTGTGGCGGTCTTCTCGCTCGTCTTCTGTTCTCGGCTGCAGTTGTGAGGCTGAGATCTACGTAGGGGCCATGGCTGCACAGGAGCTACGCTGGCTCACCTACCTGCTGACTGACCTGGGAGAGCCGCCTCGTTCTCCTCCAGTGCTGTACGTAGACAACAAGGCCATGCTGGCCTTGTGTCGGGAGCACAGAGTGGAGCACAGAACGAAGCACATCGCTCTTCGCTATTTCCTTGCTCGTGAGCTGTAGCAGCGTGGTCAGCTGCGCCTTGCTTACGTGGCCTCTCAGGCCAATACTGCTGATAAATTCACCAAGGCACTCGCGCCTTGTGATCATTAGCGCTTCTGTACTCAGTTAGGCGATTATCAGCGATCGGGATCAGAAATTTACGTCGAAGTTTTGGCAGGAGATATGGGCACGGTACGGCACCCGCCTGCAGTTTTCGTCGTGATACCACCCGCAAACCGACGAGCAGAGCGAGAGGACCAACCAGACGATGGAGCAGTTGATTCGCACAAACTGCCCTGACAATGAGAAGATTCGCTTCCCATGCTCGAATTTACGTACAACAATGCCCCGTCTGCAACGATCAATCAATCGTCGTTCTACCTCAATTACGGGATAGATCCGGTGGTACCCTCTTCAACGACTCCCAAAAATCCAGTCGCAGCACTTTGTTTCGGAACTTCAAGCAGCACACGACAAGGCAGCGGAATTCATACGGAAGGCTAATACTGCCGCCAGCCGCTACGCCGACCGACATTGACGGAATTTACCCTTCCATGACGGGCAGATGGTCCTCTTGGACACGAAGAATCTCTGACTGCCCCAGCCTGCAAAATTGCGCCCCTGCTACGTGCGACGCTTCCGCATCATCCGGATGTTGACCCCGGTCACGGCGGAACTCCTACTACCGGACGACTGGAAGATCCACGACGCCTTCCACGTCAGTTTACTTCGCCACTACGTGGCTCCGCATGTCAGAATTCCAACCACTAGACCATTGGGATAAAAGGGCTTGTTAAGTAGTGGGTCAGTGCGCCCATAACCCCCCAGGCCAACGTGCCTGCAACCCTTCCCTAGGATCAACCGGGGATCACCAGTGGACCTCTGACACCCCCCCGCACTGGGATGCCCGAAGTGCATACACCGGGATTCGAACCCGAGACCTTCGCTCTGATACCATGTCAGAATCCCAACCACTAGACCATTGGGATAAAAGGGCTTGTTTCAGTAGCGGGTAAGTGCGCCCATAACCCCCCAGGCCAACGTGCCTGTAACCCTTCCCTAAAATCAATCGGGGATCACCAGTGGACCTCTGACACCGCAGCCGTCCGACATCGCTCGACCCAACATCGCGCCAAGTGTCCGACCTGTGGCAGATCCGACGCTTCAACCATGGAAGATTTTAAATCATTGCATTCGTGCGACCCCGGCTGGACGCCATGTCAACTTCCTTCTCCGTTGGGTGGATCGCACAAGCGAAGATGACACGCGGGTCCCGGCCGACTCACTCGGTGTTTCGGGATTATCTTTCCCGCCAACGCGTGCCTGATATTGTCCACCTTTCTTAAGGGGGGGGGGGGGGGGGGGGGGGGGGGGGGGTAGTGTAAGGAATTTTACTAATTCCTTACTGAGGCACTTCTTACGCGTACATTTCGAACTTTCGGAGTTCAGGCTCGGTCCGTCGACCTTGCCTTCCGAACGTCCTCCGCGTCGCCTTCGGGTTTCCCAACCCCAAACCTGCACCCAACCTTCGCGCGACTCCGCGACCTCGGCTTAGCTAGCATTGCTATATTATGCCTAGGCCTCGTTGTTTGCTCTGTAGTTGTAATCACTTCCGCGTTATTGAATAGTGCGCACTCTTCTTTCGTACAACTCATAACAAGTCGCTTGATCGCGGTTTCGGGAAGGAGGTGCAAACAGTATTCGCTCTGTTCTAGGGTTTCATCGTGCATTCCTTCGGGAAACTCCGTACATACCGTTTTTTTAACATACCTAGGCATGGTTGCCCTCTGGCGATTCTGGGTGCTCCAATTCTTTGTCTAGTAGACCCCTACCGCCCATCCTTCCTTCCTCCGGTGCGCATCACCCGCTAGTCGCGCGTCCCTGCCATGCGCGGACCGGGCATGGGCGGGTTCCGCGACCCCGCTCCGCGCGCCATGGGTGCGCCAGGAGGGGGCATGAGCGGAGCGTCGAGGGACGAGGACCTCCAGGGGGCGCCACTGCGGGACGGCGGGGGGGTCCGCGGCGGAGGGAGCTACCGGGAGCCGGGCGCCGCGGGGTTGGGCATGGGCATGAGAGACTCGGCGCCGCCAGGGTACCGCGAGATGGGCGGCGCAGGTGCGCTCCGCGACAGGGAGATGGATGGCGCCACGATGACCGCCAGCGGCAGCGGCGGAAGCCTGAACCGATTGGCAGGCAACGGTAGTGGGGGAAACCTGATTCGTTTATCGAACGACTCTGTAGCGGGGATGATGACGTCAACATCGTCCCCGCCTCGGTACCGCCCCAATGCAGCAGCCGGCGGGCCGCCGTTCTTCGGGTCGCCGCCACTGGGGGACCCGATGGCCTTGGGGGGGGGCATGGGGGGACCAATGGGGGGTACCATGGGGGGGCCGATGGCGGCGCGGTCGAAGCGGCGCGGCGGCAGCGCGCGGTACTACCACGTGGCGGCGGCGCTGCGGCAGAACCTGCCGTACCTGGTGATCGCGGCGCTGCTGCTAGTCATCGTGCTCATGCGCGCCCCCGCCCCCGCCCCCCCGCCTGGTGGCCTCGCCACCGCCGCCGCTGCAGCAGGCGGGGCGGAGCGCGCAGCGGCAGCAACAGGGGGGGCGGCGGGGGGGATGCAGGCGGGGAACGGCGCGGGGATGGGAGGGGGAGCCGCCGGGGCGGCGGGGGCAGGCGGGGACGGAAGAGGAGGGGCAGGGGGAGGTGGGGCGAAAGCGGGGGAGGCGGCGGGCAGGCAGATCCTGCAAGGAGCGGGGCGGGCGACGGGAGCAGTGGCGGTGCCTGGCACAGCGGCGGCAGGGAAGGGCGCGAGTGGAGCAGCAGGGGGGGCGGTGGGCGGGCTGCTGTCCATGGGGCTGAGCCGGTTTGGGCTGGGCGGCGGGCAGAAGAAGAACCTGATCAGCATCCTCAAGGCGAACCCCGACGCCGTGGAGGCGCGCGAGGCCACGCGCAACTACCGCTTCCGCGAGCACGCGCCCGTGTACGGGCTGGTGCACTTCGCCAGCTACCGCATGAACGCCGTGAAGTTCGCCATCGTGGGGCTGGCTGGGCGCGCCCTGCGCGACTCGCGCAAGCTGGGCAAGTGCGTGTGGAAGGAGAAGAACGGCGGGCACCGCGTCACCGGCACTCTCACAGGTGAGGCACCCTCACAGGTGAGGCACTCTCACAGGTGAGGCACTCTCACAGGTGAGGCACTCTCACAGGTGAGGCACTCTCACAGGTGAGGCACTCTCACAGGTGAGGCCCTCTCACAGGTGAGGCACTCTCACAGGTGAGGCCCTCTCACAGGTGAGGCACTCTCACAGGTGAGGCACTCTCACAGGTGAGGCACTCTCACAGGTGAGGCACTCTCACAGGTGAGGCACTCTCACAGGTGAGGCCCTCTCACAGGTGAGGCACTCTCACAGGTGAGGCACTCTCACAGGTGAGGCACTCTCACAGGTGAGGCCCTCTCACAGGTGAGGCACTCTCACAGGTGAGGCACTCTCACAGGTGAGGCACTCTCACAGGTGAGGCACTCTCACAGGTGAGGCCCTCTCACAGGTGAGGCACTCTCACAGGTGAGGCACTCTCACAGGTGAGGCACTCTCACAGGTGAGGCACTCTCACAGGTGAGGCCCTCTCACAGGTGAGGCACTCTAACAGGTGAGGCATTCTCAAAGGTGAGGCACTCTCACAGGTGAGGCACTCTCACAGGTGAGGCCCTCTCACAGGTGAGGCACTCTCACAGGTGAGGCCCTCTCACAGGTGAGGCACTCTCACAGGTGAGGCACTCTCACAGGTGAGGCACTCTCACAGGTGAGGCCCTCTCACAGGTGAGGCACTCTCACAGGTGAGGCCCTCTCACAGGTGAGGCACTCTCACAGGTGAGGCACTCTCACAGGTGAGGCACTCTCACAGGTGAGGCACTCTCACAGGTGAGGCACTCTCACAGGTGAGGCACTCTCACAGGTGAGGCCCTCTCACAGGTGAGGCACTCTCACAGGTGAGGCCCTCTCACAGGTGAGGCACTCTCACAGGTGAGGCCCTCTCACAGGTGAGGCCCTCTCACAGGTGAGGCACTCTCACAGGTGAGGCATTCTCACAGGTGAGGCACTCTCACAGGTGAGGCCCTCTCACAGGTGAGGCACTCTCACAGGTGAGGCCCTCTCACAGGTGAGGCACTCTCACAGGTGAGGCACTCTCACAGGTGAGGCACTCTCACAGGTGAGGCCCTCTCACAGGTGAGGCACTCTCACAGGTGAGGCACTCTCACAGGTGAGGCCCTCTCACAGGTGAGGCACTCTCACAGGTGAGGCACTCTCACAGGTGAGGCCCTCTCACAGGTGAGGCACTCTCACAGGTGAGGCACTCTCACAGGTGAGGCATTCTCACAGGTGAGGCACTCTCACAGGTGAGGCCCTCTCACAGGTGAGGCACTCTAACAGGTGAGGCATTCTCACAGGTGAGGCACTCTCACAGGTGAGGCACTCTCACAGGTGAGGCACTCTCACAGGTGAGGCCCTCTCACAGGTGAGGCACTCTCACAGGTGAGGCCCTCTCACAGGTGAGGCACTCTCACAGGTGAGGCACTCTCACAGGTGAGGCACTCTCACAGGTGAGGCCCTCTCACAGGTGAGGCACTCTCACAGGTGAGGCACTCTCACAGGTGAGGCCCTCTCACAGGTGAGGCACTCTCACAGGTGAGGCACTCTCACAGGTGAGGCACTCTCACAGGTGAGGCCCTCTCACAGGTGAGGCACTCTCACAGGTGAGGCCCTCTCACAGGTGAGGCACTCTCACAGGTGAGGCCCTCTCACAGGTGAGGCACTCTCACAGGTGAGGCACTCTCACAGGTGAGGCACTCTCACAGGTGAGGCCCTCTCACAGGTGAGGCCCTCTCACAGGTGAGGCACTCTCACAGGTGAGGCCGCACCGTGCAGGGGGCTGTTGGGTTGGTGGCCGTAGCAGTCAGTGCTCTCGGATTGTGGCCCACATCCATGCCATGTGGGATGTTCCGGTTTGAGATTAAAGGCACTTTGTGCATGTCTATGTTGATCGCGTGACGCATGATTCATGTTGGGCAACTACCGTGCTGCCTCCTGCCTTTGTTGCACCCGTCCCACCACACACGCCCTGCATGCCGTCCCACCATACCACACACGCCCTGCATGCTGTCCCCCTGCGTGCAGCGTTCTACCCGGGCGAGCACCACAACCTGCGGTACGAGGCGGTGGTGCTGGTGTGCGAGCTGGACGAGTCCACGGAGGCGGACTACGGCGGGCTGCTGCTCGCCACCGTCGACAGGGAGGACGTCGTGGCGTACATGGAGGAGCCCAAGCAGTTCCCCTCCGCCACGCCCAAGCCGCCCTTCAAGTACCAGCTCACGTACTGCTCGCCGCCCCTGGCGGGCAAGATCATCCCGCGGCGCATGTACGAGTGGATGGAGTTCCACCTGCACAGCGGCGTGGACCGCCTCGTGCTGTACGACGCGGGCGGCATCGGGGCGGCGCTGATGACGATGCTGGAGAGCTACACGGAGCAGGGGCTGGTGGAGGTGGTGGACGTGCGGCAGATCACGGCGTACGAGGCGTGGGAGCGCGGCCGCCTCATGGTGCTCAACGACTGCGTGCAGCGCCACCGCTTCTCGTCCAAGTGGGTCTTCTTCGCCGAGATGACCGAGTTCTTCTCCGCCGCCAAGGGCGAGACGCTGCTCGCCACCGTCAACGCCTACGACGGCCGCCCCTACGTCACGTTTGGCAGCCGGTGGTGGTCGTTTGAGAAGTGCACCTTCTCGTCACTCACCGAGCGCATCGTGGTGCGCGGCGCCGCCATGATCGAGGGGCAGAACTCGGGCGACGAGGCGCGCGACGTGGGGGGGATAGCGGAGGGCGGTGCGGGGGAGGGCGGTGTGCAGGTGACGGAGGGGGCGGAGAAGGCGGCGGTGGAGCAGCCGTGGGCGCTGGAGCGCATGCTGTTCCGGTGGCCGCACATCTACTGCACCAACAAGGAGGCGTACCCGCGCTGGGAGCTGTGCCTGGACTACCACGGGTTCCGGCGCGTGGCAGCAGACCCACGGCAGGTGGTGGCGGTGCAGATCCACCGCGTGGAGGTGCCGCGCATGGGCGGCATCGACGTGGACACGGACGCGGCGCGCTTCAACCACTTCCAGGGGCTGGTGGACGACGAGCGCAAGTTCTGCATCAAGAGCGTGCGCCCCGGCGAGCAGCTCGACTGGTGGGTGCGCGACCAGTCCCTCGCCCTGCTCGCCCAGGAGGCCAGGCAGTCGCCCCGCGCCAAGTTCAAGACACGCGGGGGGTGAGGGAGGGGAGACGGGTGGGGTGCGGTGGGTGGGGCCATGGTTGGCTCGTGTGGTCTGGTGGTAGGGGAATTGAACGGTAGCGAGGCAGGAAGGCGGCAAGGCAAAGAGGCAGCAAAGCAGCATCACACCGCCACTTGAAGCTGGCAGTGGCAGACAAGACAACCATGCACGCTCATGTCAGCACACAAGCCAGAAACAGCTCAGCTTACACAAGAAATTATCTCAACAGGCCTGTTGAATCTTGACTGTGCTGGGTTGCCGTGATTTGAGGCGTGCAAAGGCAATGCAACCAGTTCCTGATCAATACAAGACTGCTTAAAGGAGTGGCTTCCCGCTGATGTGTCATGTCGGCCTTGCTATCGAGTTATTTAGTCAGTATGTGCAAGCGTGTACTGGGTGGAGGTATTGTACACCAAATGCTACTCAAACCCTACAATATGCAAGGGATTTTCTCCTAAGAGATTACAGGGTTAGGTATCTGGGAAAGGGCAATCTTATCATGGCCGTACCGGTACCTACAAACCCCAGGCGTCCCTCTCCTCATCTCTGAGTATTGCATTCGTCTATCTGTTCCTGTGCTGCTACGGCTGCTATGGCCGCTAGGGCTGCTACGGCTGGTAGGGCTGCTATGGCTGATAGGGCTGCTACGGCTGATAGGGCTGCTACGGCTGATAGGGCTGCTACGGCTGCTAGGGCTGCTACGGCTGCTAGGGCTGCTACAGCTGATAGGGCTGCTATGGCTGATAGGGCTGCTACGGCTGCTAGGGCTGCTACGGCTGCTAGGGCGGGCCGCCAGGCCACTTGATGACGCCATCCTTGGTGCACCCGATGCACCACTTGAGCAGGCGCTGTGGCTGCACCACCACGGGCGAACGCACCACATGGCCCACCTCATCCCGCCACGTGATGCTGCCGTAGAAGAAACTCATCGACTTGCCCACCACGCGCACCACCACCCTGTACGTCACACTCTCGCCAGGCGCGATCGTGAATCGACGCGGCGTCACCGTGAGCACCACCCCCCAGGGGTTGACCACCGTGGCCGTGTAAGTGGACGGCACAGCCGCCACGCTCGTCACGGTGCGCAGGATGATGGTCACGCCCTTGGCGCGCCCCAGCGCGATGGACGGGCGGTTCAGGTTGCGCGGGGGCAGGCGCGTGAGAGCAGCGGCGGGGAAGAGCCTGCGCGTGCGGAACCAGCTCTGCCCCGCGAGGAAGTTGCGCAGGTGGCGCTCGCTGGCGTCGAAGGTCAGCCCGGGATCCGCCACGCGCGCCGCCTGCACCACCCCACACCCCATCTGCCACGGCGTTGCCTTCCTACCCGCCGCCGTGCGCATGGGCGCACCGCCCGCCGTGGTGGTGCGAGCGGACGTCATGAGTGCTGACATCACCTGTGCGGGCGACCACCCAGGCCGCAGCTGCACCAGCACTGCTGCAACACCTGCCACCAGCGGTGCGGCCAGGTACGTGCCGGTGCGGTTTATGAGGTCTCCAGGGGCACCAATGGTGGTGGCGGGGGCGGCGGACCAGAGGTCGACGCCCGGGGCGAGGAGGTCGGGCTTGAGCAGTGAGTTGGTGGGGAAGGGCGGGCGCACCCGGTACCACGGCCACACCAGCGGGCCCGCTGAGGAGAAGGCCGCCACTGTGGCAGCTGCTGTGCTGGCTGGCTGTGCTGCTGCTGCTGCTGATGATGCCAATGATTGTGGTGCTGTGGCGCTGAAGACACTGGAACGGGCGGGGGGAATGGACAGGAGCACAGACGGTGGGGTGTGACCGTGTGGTGATGGGATGGGAAGTGGGTGCACGCATGGCAAGATGCGTGTGTCAGAGTGTGTTCAGGACTGTGGAATGGAGGGAGGACACTGAGGATCAATGACAGGGGAATGGAAGAGAAGAGAAGTGCCTGCAGGACAATTGGAGTGAGGTCAAGAGAACAAAAAGCTGAGCCAGGAACCTGAATAAAAACAAGCTTGCTGCATCACAGCATGGAACACACTCACCTGCTATTGCTAACAGCAGGTGTCAAGGCTGTGCTGGTGTGGCGAGCAGACGCCACAGCTGACAACCCCCCTTGCCCTGCAACCGTGCTGTGGTGCATGGGATGGGATGACGGCATGTGATGGCGATGTAGGGTGGCGAGGTGGGTGAAGAAAGGGAGGAATGTACATGAAGGATCGGAAACAATTCTGTGAGATACTGCAAAGAGGGGTGAGGGGTCAAGAATGGTGGCATGTGCAAGCAAAGAAGGAGAAGCAAGGCGACGATGCAACCGAGATTCATGGGGCTGCATGCTAGCAAAGGGCTTGCGATCCACACAACAAGCACACACGAATTGGGCGAATGGAAGCCCACCTGGCGCCCACAGTGAGGTAGAAGGGCGAGAAGTTGTCGATGACGCGGATGTATGCCCCCAGCAGCCGCCAGAAGTTGGGCTGCCCCCAGTCACCCGCCCCCATCACCACCACCACGCCTGCCTGCCTCCACCCATGCATGCACACACACACACACACACACACACACACACACACACACACACACACACTCACACACACACACACACACACACACTCACACACACACACACACACACACACTCACACACACACACACACACACACACACACACACACACCCACGCACGCACAAGCATGCACACATGCACGCACAGGACCAATCAAGCTGCCAAACCGCCGGGCTGCGAGGCGGTGAAGCTGTAAGTTGGGTGGCTGGATTTCAACATGTCAAGACACCGGGAGCGAGCCTTCACGTATGCTCACTCACACAATGCGGCACTCACTCCTCTTTGCCACCCACACCGCCCCACCAACCCCTTCTTCTCAATGAAGACAGTCAACCGTCAACGTCCCCTAAACCCGCCTCCCCCTCTGCGGCGTGCACCCTCCCTGCGCCCCCCGTTCCCCCTCCCCCGCTCACAGCATGGGCGTGCAGGAAGGGGGCGTCAGTGAAGTAGGTGGCGAGGGAGCCCTTGAACCCCCCCACCGTGACGCACAGCACGTGCACGCCGTCCGCCACGGCGCGGTCCACCCCCGCCAGCACGTCCGCCTCAAACCCGTACCCCGCCCACACCGCCTTGTACACCGCCACCCGTGCTCCCGGCGCCATGCCACTCGTCGTCGCCCCGTCCGCCCACGTCACCGCGTTGCCCACCGCTGCTCTGCGCGGTTGGGGCAGAGGCAAGGGGGGAGTGCGAGAGGGCAGGAGAGAAGGACGAGGGAGCAATGGCAGGACTGAGGGAGTGAGACAAGGAGGAGGAAGGCACGGAAGGAGGAATGTGGCAAGTGACCGTGGAAAGTTCTACAATGAAGAAGACTGAAAGAAAAAGACCACTCAACCTTCCACTCACCCCTCTGCGCCACTGCACTCACCCCTCTGCGCCACTGCACTCACCCCTCTGCGCCACTGCACTCACCCCTCTGCGCCACTGCACTCACCCCTCTGCGCCACTGCACTCACCCCTCTGCGCCACTGCACTCACCCCTCTGTGCCACTGCACTCACCCCTCTGCGCCACTGCACTCACCCCTCTGCGCCACTGCACTCACCCCTCTGCGCCACTGCACTCACCCCTCTGCGCCACTGCACTCACCCCTCTGCGCCACTGCACTCACCCCTCTGTGCCACTGCACTCACCCCTCTGCGCCACTGCACTCACCCCTCTGTGCCACTGCACTCACCCCTCTGCGCCACTGCACTCACCCCTCTACGCCACTGCACTCACCCCTCTGCGCCACTGCACTCACCCCTCTGCGCCACTGCACTCACCCCTCTGCGCCACTGCACTCACCCCTCTGCGCCACTGCACTCACCCCTCTGCGCCACTGCACTCACCCCTCTGCGCCACTGCAACCACCCCTCTGCGCCACTGCACTCACCCCTCTGCGCCACTGCACTCACCCCTCTGCGCCACTGCACTCACCCAGGGGCACTCACGCTGCGCTCCACGTGCCGCTGCCATGCATGTCACGCGGCGAGTCATACTCCGCGCTGAAGTCGGGCCCGCCTGTGCTGTGCTGGTTCGCCGCGTACAGGCGCCGCGCGCCGATGATCTTCCCGCTGCACGTGAAGTCGGGCGTTGAGTCACACGCGCCCTGCCACCCCGCCGGCACACCGCTGAACGCCTGCTGGGGGGCAAGGGAGGCGAATAGCGGAGCAGGCGAGAGTTAGGGGGAAACAGAATGTGCGTGAATAATTGTGCATGTGTGTGAGTGTAGTGCTTAAGAGTATGAGTGACATGGAGAAAGAGAGTGTGTGCGTGCAAGGGAGAGAGGGTTACCGACCGAGGCATGGAATGCGGGGTGCTCAGGCCAGATGCCCGACCCCACCACCCCCACCACCACATCCGTGCCCGCGCTGCTCTGCCCGCCCGCCTGCTGCCACAGCGACCCCGGCAGCCCCATGAAGGAGGCGGCGTCTGCATCGTACGTGCGCGGCTCAGATGCCGTGGAGGCAGATGCGTTCCACGCAGGGGTGGGGCGAGCGCGCCAGGGAGGCGTGGTGGTGGCGGCGGGCGCGTGGAAGACACGGGTGCGGCGCACGGAGGCCACGGCGGGGTGCCTCTTGAGGCGCCACACTTGCAGGGGGGAGAGGGCAGCGGCGAAGGCGTGGGCCACGGTGTGCACGTGCAGCAGCACGGCCGCTGCCGCCACCCCCGCGTCCGCCGCCACCTGCTCCTGCTGCCGCTGCAGCGCCCGCCTCAGCGCCCTCACGTGCCCCGCCCTAATGTCAATCCCCCGCCGCCGCTGCTGCCCTTGCTGCTGCTTGCTGCTGCTTCTGCTGCTGCCGCTCTGGGGCGGGGGGAGAGGAGAGGAAGAGTGCGGGTCGGCCCCCTCGTCCCTGGGCGCGGTGGCGGGGAAGCCGGGGAGGTGTCCGCGGTACGTGGCGAGGGGGGCGCCGCGCAGCTCCACGATGTACTGCGCCCCCCGCTGCTGCCGCTGCTGGCGCGGGGGACCTGACAGGGGTAATGGAGGGGGGTGATAGAGAGGGGAGATGCGAAGGGGATGACGCGAGAGTGACGGGGTTCTCGAAGGGTCGAAGACGGTTCGCGTGAGGGGCGGCGAGGGAGAGTGAGCGCGAGTGGTGATGAGACAGTGCCAGTGACGACGACGCCACCACGTCGTTCAACTAGCGGGGACGGAGGACGGCAGCCGTTACCTCACCGTCGTGCGGAGGGGGCGCGCTGCTGGGGACCGCGAGGAGCAGCAGCAGCGCCGCCAGCGCCACGACGCTCCGCGCGAGAGGCGGCGAGAGGCGAGGCGGCGACGACGATGCGACGGTGGGCGGCATGAGACGAGGCCGCCCAACACACGGGCTGCTGACGGAGTGATCGGTTCTGGTGACTACTAGTAGGCAGACAACCACCCGCCTAAATTTGACATTTCTTTACATCGCGGGGTGAAGAAAACGAAGCGCGAGAGGAAGCATGCCTGAACGGATGGATTGAATAGGAGTGCCGCGCTGACAGCTGCTCCACCTTGCCGTACTGTATTGACGGAACCTGTGCAGCTCGTAACGCTCTCAACGTCACGATCTTGCGCAGCATAGCTGCGACTCGCGTCTCGCCCTAGCGGTGCACCCAATTGTAGGATGGAGCAAAAAGTCACTTCTGTACCGTTTTGAATGATAGAGCATCGCATTTGGCCGCGCAGCCGGAAGGCGACAAAGAGCGATTGCCTAAGGTCGTGTTACATTTTCGATTTTTTTCCAAACGGACTGGACTGTATGAACGGTTTTAATCGGTTTATTTGTTAAACGCTTTGTTCAAGTGGGTTTCAGTTTGTTTCAGAGTGGTGAATGTCCGGACCCTACTGAAAATTAGAAAATGTAACACGCCCCAACTCGGACGGGATGCGCGAAAACAGAGAGATTCATAGGCGCGTTGGCGCCATGGTGCTTCAGACCTAGTCGGGCCTGTTCGGCACTAGCCTTCGGCTCCGAACCTGCGGACGTGCTCTGACACAACCACGGTCGCGCAAAACCGGGAAAATATGTCACAAGTAACCATCATTGGACTCCTGTAATGAATGTGAATTCATTACTGTAGAGGTTGCTCCTAGCGAGGACAGCCCCGAGCACTTCGCGTCAGTTTCGATGTTCGGCCTACACTTCGACCCGAACCACTACCGAGTCGCTCCGCACCAATCGCGACACCTCCAACCCAACCACATCCCGAGGTCTGCGCCTAGCACGTATTCGCCCTATAAATGCTTCTCTTGTTCATTCTGTCAAAATTAGGAGAAAGAAAGAGGAATGAACTAGCAGAAATGGGGATACAAATAGCAAACCCTAGAAGGGTTGTACTCGCTATAGAGCACCCCACTACAGGCTAGAACATAAGAATAATATTCTGACACATTCAATGCTGATTGAGTAATTCTGTAGTTTCATCCTTTTTATAAAGTCTTCCGCGTGTTGGAAACAATGAGTAGAGTTGAACGAGAACGAATGTGAACTATGAATGAAGCGAGTACAAATATGAAACCCTAGTTGGGTTGTACCCCCTATGGGATACCCCACTATAGCCTACACAATAGCATAAGCTATAATGTTCTGACACACCCCCATAGGCAAAGTGGGGGAGAACAAGGGGTCACAAGACCAGTCAAGCAAAACAAAGCAAAGCTCAGGGTGGATCACAAAGTCACCACACATTCCGAGCACGAGTTCAAAGGCCAAAAGGCCAGTTCACATGCAAGAGCACATATATATATATATATATATATATATATATATATATATATATATGAGGCTAAGCAAGCAAGAGCAGGAGTATATATATGTGACAGTACAAGCAAGGTCAAGAAGTGAGCAAGTGAGGCAAGATAGGCACAAGACCCAGCTGAGTGCAGAAGCGCTGATGATCACAAGGCGCAAGTACCTTGGTGAAAACATCAGCAGTGTTGGCCTCAGAGGCCACGTACGCAGGCCGCAACTGTCCACGCTGCTGTAGCTCACGAGCAAGAAAGTAACGGAGAGCAATGTGCTTTGTCCTATGCTCCAGTCGCTGCTCTCGACACAAGGCCAGCATGGCCTTGTTGTCTACGTACACGAGTGGAGGAGAACGACGCGGCTCTCCAAGGTCGGTCAGCAGGTAGGTGAGCCAGCGAAGCTCCTGGGCAGCCATAGCCCCGGCGTAGATCTCAGCCTCACAACTGGAGCCGAGATCAGAAGACGAGCGGGTAGCCCGCCACGAAACAGAGCCGGAACCAAGACTGAAGGTGTAACCCTGTGACGACTGCTGCGTAGCCTGGTCATCAGCCCAAGAAGCGTCTGCGTGACCAGTGAGGACCACTGGACTCCGCCCTCCAAGCACTAGCCCCATGCCCGACGTACTGCACAAGTAGCGCACCACCCTCTTCGCTGCAGCCATGTGCTCTGGTCGGTGTCTCCCAGGAGCAACATAGCGTGCAATAATGCTAAGAGGGTATGCAAGGTCAGGTCGTGTCCAGGTCATCAGGTACATGAGGCAGCCAACAAGCTCTGGATACGGGCCACTCGACTCTACGGACTCATCCGAAGGCAGAGCTGAGAGTGAGTGGCGAGTAGGCAGAGGAGTGGCCTGAGGCGAGGAGTACGTGAAGCCGAAGCGCTGAAGGACCTGCTGCACCATGTGTGACCGAGTCAAGGTAATGGTGCGGCGTGCTCTGTCCCGGGTGATCTGCAAGCCAAGGTAGCTGCGCAGTTCACCCAGGTCTGTGCACGTGTGTCGCTTCTGCAGCTCGGACTTCACGTAGGCGAGTCCAGCAGTGTCAGCTGTGGCAAAGACCAAGTCGTCAACGTACACGAGGATGTAGAAACAGCGACGGGTCGGCAGTAGAAGGAGCAAACCCAAGAGTCGCAAGCGTAGTCCTCAGTGTGTCGTGCCACTCACGTGGCACCTGGCGGAGACCGTAGACTGGACGCCGGAGACTCCACTGGGTACCATGAGGGAAAGACTCAGTGAAGCCAGGTGGGCGGCGCAGCCAGATCTCCTCGTGCAGACTGCCCTGCAAGAAAGCTGTGCTAAAGTCGAGAGAGTGGAGCTCGTAGTCACGGTGAGCAGCAATGTGCAGCAGTACCCGAAGAGTGGTCATCTTCGGGGTGGGAGAGAAGGTCTGAAAGTAGTCAACTCCCTGCCGCTGACTGAAGCCACGAGCCACGTAACGCGCCTTGAAGACAGGCGGAGAACCCGTCGGCCGCTTCACCCTGAAAATCCACATGCCACTGACGATGTTCGCCCCAGGAGGGGGGACAGCGTGAACGTAGGTGCCTATGGACTTCCAGGAAGCCATCTCTGCATCCATAGCTGCCTGCCACTGAGAGGAATAGGGACCCTCTATCGCCTCCGCGTAAGAGCGCGGAGTCGGGATGTCTAGTGCATCCGGGTCTCCCTCAGGGGTGAGCAGTACGGACAAGAGATGAGGTGAAGCAGCTGCCAGACACTGGAACTCCTCCTGCATGTCCTCAAGGACGTCCGTGCCAAGGGCACACTCACCCCCGACGGACGGAGGATAGACAGACTCAGACTCAGCGACAAGACTAGCAGCGTAGTCTAAGCGACAGCGAGCAGCAAAGTCGATGATTTTAGTAACGAGAGCAGACGCAGCAGTAGACTCAAAAGAAGGGTCAGTGACAACAGTAGCAAGGAGACGCGTGACAGTAGGACTGGCAGCACGAAGAGAGTCCGACTCAGGGTCCGCAAGTGCAGGAAGAGAGGACTCAGGAGGGGAAGGCAGAGGGGCACGCAGAGGAGCAGTAGACGGACGCAAAGACATCCGGCGCGAACCGCGACCACTAGCGCGAGCAGCTCTAACAGGCGATGCAGGACGAGACGCAGGCTCACGACGCTCAGTAAGACCTCCAGTAGGACCAGCGTAGGGAGAAGGAGCAGGCAGAGGGGAGGCAGGCTGTAGCTTGGACTGTGACGGGACAGGCTGTGGACACTCTAAGGGAGGAGGAGGACCAGTAGAAGGAGGAAGACCAAGAACCTGCTGCAGAAGTGGAACAAAGTACGGTCAAGGCCGCGTGACGACGCCAGAAGCAGTAGGGACAGCACCAGTACCCTCAGTAGAAGCACCCGCTCCAGCAGCACCTCCAGCAGCACCAGGAGCACCCCAAGGAGGACCGCCAGCGGTAGTCTCAGCGCCAACACCGTCAGCAGCACCAGCTCCAGTCGAACCCGTAGGTCCAGCAGCTCCAGTACTCCCAGTGCGAGTACCCCCGGGACCGGCGACCGCAGCACCCTCAGCAGCCGAAGAACCTCCAGCACCAGCAGTACGGCACCAGCGCCGGGCAAACCACTCGCGCAGCTCCTGTGGAGAGAGTGGCTCTCGGCGAGAAGAAGCACCCGGAGAACCTCCAGGAGGAGCACCTCCACTCTCAGCACCCCAAGGCATAGCACCTCCAGGCTTAGCACCCCCAGGCGTAGCACCTCCAGGCTCAGCACCCCCAGGCTCAGCACCCCCAGACTCCGCAACCCCAGGTCCAGCACCCCCAGGCTCAGCACCCCCAGCAGCACCAGAGTCACCAGTGACCTCGACAGGCTCGACTGCGTCGACCTGGGACACACCTGAAGGGGCAAGACCCTGAGGGGGGAGGGGGTCTACCTGGGGGGGACCTCGTACAAGGAAGAGCGGGGGTGGGGGGAGGGACGGAGTGCGGTAGGGGAAGAGGCGGTAGTAGGGGACCGACTCGTCAAACGTGACGTCCTGGGAGGACAGAACACGTCGAGAGGTGGGGTGGTAGAACTGCCACCCAGGCGCGTCAGGGGGGAACCCTAGGAAGACGCAAGGAGCAGCACGAGGGGACAGCTTGTCCGCAGACAAGTCGCGGACAAACGCCCGAGATCCCCAGACCCGGAACGCCGATGCATCGCCAACCTTCCCCGTCCACAGCAAGGCTTGGGAGGTCTCCGGCCTGGAGACCCTGGGGTGGAGGTTGATCTGATGCGCCGCGTACCTCACCGCAAACGGCCACAGAAAATGGGGGGCAGCCGCATGCATCATAGACGTACGAGCGACGTCCATGACCATGCCAATGCGGCGCTCAGCAATCCCATTTTGCTGCGGTGAGTCCGGAAGCGTGAAGGTCTGACGGATGCCTCGTGCGCGACAGTAGGCTCGCAGTCGGCCAGAGGAAAACTCTCCGCCTCTGTCCGAATGCAGACGCAGAACAGGGAAGTCCGAGCCAAAGCTCCGCCTGAGCTGGAGACGAGCCGCGCGGATCCAGTCGATCAGCATCTCACGGACATCACCCTTGCTGCGCAAGGGGAAGACTGTGGTGTAACGCGAGTAGTAGTCAACAACGAG